ACTAATCTCCCGACCCCAGAGGGATGACAGACTTGGTTTGCCCGGAACGGAATCGAACTAGTACCATGCTCGTGTTGACGGACATCACTACCACTGTGCTATCCTTCCAATAAAAATGTTATTGGCTTTCTCTTTTGCACCTTTTCCTTCAGCTTATTTCTCTTTAACCGTTGACATTCTTTGGTAGAATTAGGTCAGATCTCAGATGAAATAAGAGATCTTGCGGCAAATAATTGTTAAAAGTGAGACAAAGACGGCTACCCGCTTTCCCTCAGATGCATGTATGTTGGTGACATGTGACCATTGTCTCTATCAGCACTACATTGTTTTACAGATGATTTTATAAAAACTGTGTATATAGGCATAATTATAAGCACTGTCTTAGATCTAAAAATTCTATTTATTGATGTTGTAGCATGCCATTATACAGTGGGAATCCTACGTTATTTAATGAATTTTAAATTCATAGATAGAGCATTCGACGTCGATCAATCTCTGAGGTATGACCCATGCATTTGACTTCGTTAAGCATCGTTTGGAGGTGATTGGATGCATATCTAGCCTATCTCTGCGGTAGAAAACCGATATAATGAGTCAGTGATACAATCCTCTCATAGAATTTTGTCAGCAATTTGCTTACCTCCGAAGGTATAGAAGTTTTGGTGAAGCTAAGGCGCCAAGTCGAACCAACGACTACGTGTTTACTGCAGAACACCTCTAACCACTGCTCAACACACGCTCCACATAAAATGACGCTGTATTATTAATGACCGGACTTCAGTTCTCATATTAGTGAAGTCACTTTTTTTTCTTACCAACTTTCTAGTAATGGTGTAGATGTTGCCCAATGTTTTTGGCGAATGGAGGTGTATTCGTTCATGTTGAGGTAGATGCCGGAAGTTTTTTTCCAGTTTGTTAGTGTGTTGTACCCTCTATAAAAGGATGTGATCTGGTCAACAATGCTTTGAAACTACCCTATTATTAGGTCTTTCGAAAAACAAGTGCTTTTATTTTTAAACTTTAGTTAGATTTATGCCTCGGTAAGCCAGCAATCAACTTCCGGAAAGTGTAATGTGGTGTGTCCAGTTGATAATTTTGCATAACGTACATAATAACTTTGTACTTCTCTCTGAGGGCATTGTATGGGTTTTTTTGCTTCCGACGATTCTATCTTCAGAGTAGCTTTTCCCTATCTCGTTCAATTACCTTTTCAATAACTCGAAAGACCAACTATCTAAAAAAAAACCTCGGCATAGATAGTTGATATATTTATTTATGTGATCCCTATGAACTGATCTTCTTAAGCTGACGCGAGGTTGGTACAGATCTTCGTTGTCGTTGTCGTTGCTTTTGATGTTATTGGACGATGGCTGACGTTTCGGCGGCTTCGCCTTCCTCAGAGCCTGGACGTATTTTATGTTAGAATACTTTTTATTATTCGGTGGAAAAGAAGGTTGAAGTGTTTTCCGGTTCATCTTTGGATTTTTGAAATTTATCCAAAACTCTTGAAGAGTTTTGCGCATTGATGTTTTTGATTCCTGCGCTAGGATCCACACATTCACTTCAAAATTATCGCCGTTGTGCTTTTGTGCCCTATGCGTACCTAGAGCGGTGTTTAAACGGATTTTAGCTTTTCCATGTAGATGTTCTTTTATGCGAACACAAAGTGGTCTACCCGTTTCCCCGATATATTCCTCGCCGCATGCATTACATGAGATCAAGTATATTATACCCAAACTCATGCAATCCCCGTCTCTCCCGTTAGGACAGATCATACAGTTTTCTGAGCTGCACAAACGATCATAGAGACGGTTTCGAACTACCTGGCGGCGTAGGGTATTGGGTGGGATGTCAATAATCGTTACATAATTTCAAGACCACTTTTTCTTAAGCACTTTTTAATGGCGTGACTTACTTCAATTAATATGAAGGGCAGCTTAAAGTGGATCCTACTTTCGTCTGAAATATTATTTTGGGAAACTACACANCGCGTGATAGTGAGGCATTCGTCCTTCCGGTTCATCTTTGGATTTTTGAAATTTATCCAAAACTCTTGAAGAGTTTTGCGCATTGATGTTTTTGATTCCTGCGCTAGGATCCACACATTCACTTCAAAATTATCGCCGTTGTGCTTTTGTGCCCTATGCGTACCTAGAGCGGTGTTTAAACGGATTTTAGCTTTTCCATGTAGATGTTCTTTTATGCGAACACAAAGTGGTCTACCCGTTTCCCCGATATATTCCTCGCCGCATGCATTACATGAGATCAAGTATATTATACCCAAACTCATGCAATCCCCGTCTCTCCCGTTAGGACAGATCATACAGTTTTCTGAGCTGCACAAACGATCATAGAGACGGTTTCGAACTACCTGGCGGCGTAGGGTATTGGGTGGGATGTCAATAATCGTTACATAATTTCAAGACCACTTTTTCTTAAGCACTTTTTAATGGCGTGACTTACTTCAATTAATATGAAGGGCAGCTTAAAGTGGATCCTACTTTCGTCTGAAATATTATTTTGGGAAACTACACAACGTTTTCCTCTAACCCGAGTGACTTCTACTTCGTAGCCATTGGAAATGGCAATTTTTCGTGCCAGGTTTCGCGATTCCTTCCTTTCCTCTTCTCCTGTGCACACATTTTTAGCCGTGCGATACCTGTTCTTGATAAGTGCTTTTTTCATGTGTGAAGGATGAGAGGAGAGGCAGTGAACTAGAATGTTTTTACTACTTGGCTTGCGATACCATTTTGTTACATAGCTACTTACTGAGAGCTTTATTTGGATGTTTAAGAATGGAAGCCAGTTCTCGGTAGGTTTTTCTCATGTAAATTTTATATACTCTGACTGTCGGTTTAATAATTCAAAGCACTCATCCATCTGTTCTTGTGTGGAACAGACGATGAAGCAGTCGTCTATCTATCGACAGTAGAGTAAGGGTCGGTGATCGAGAACTGGAGCTTCCACCTTAGACATGAAAGCGATGGCAAGGCTTGGTGCTAAACGCTGCCCCATCGCCAATCCTCTAATTTGTGCAAAATATTTTCCAGACCACTTAAAGATTGAACGACTAAGACACTGTTTTAAGAGGGTCATTAGTTGCGCAATCGACAAGCCGTGCATTTTTATTTTCTTTTCATGCTCTACGGGTAACTCGAGAATGGCTTCCATTGCGGAGTCATTGGACACGTTGGTATAAAGTGAACTAACATCGAATGACTCCATTATATGCCTGCTGTTTGGTTGCGCGCGCCTTAGGTGATCTAGAAATATCTTGGTGTTAGGTAGATGGGTTGGAATGAATTTTAGCAGCTGGGTTAGAATAAGGTTTAGGAACCACGTTATTCTATCCGTTGGCCCGCCAATACAACTGATGATAGGTTTAACTTTATATGATGATGGGTTCGTTGACGTAATATCATCAGTTGAAGTAAGCTTATGTGTATGAAATGCTGAGATATTTGCAAAACTACGGACCGCAGTTGTATGCAGTGGGGAACGAACACGCGCTGTTGTCCTTACCGGGGAGCAGCGCACTTCACCACCACACCGTCCGGGTCCTTCGTCTTGCCTGTCTTTCAGCTAGTTCTATCAATCTTTTTGCCATCAGCAATCACCCGTCAACGGGATTGATCTGGGGAGTCCAAATCGGCATTGAACCCAGTTAAGCTGAAGCTTAGTTATAATCACAATCTTAACCCTTTTATTTACTGCCTTTTTCTTCTTAAGTGAAAGTTCCTTCGTTCCCCACTGCATACACCTGCGGTCCCGAGTTTTGCAAATATCTCAGCATTTCATACGAGTTATATTTCGCAACATACCCTGCCATTAAGAAGAAAAAGGCAGTAAATAAAAGGGTTAAGATTAAGCTTATGTGTTTTAATAAGCAAGTAAAGGACAGGGCAATAATATTTCAGACGAAAGTAGGATCCCCTTTAAGCTGCCCTTCATATTAATTGAAGTAAGTCACGCCATTAAAAAGTGCTTAAGAAAAAGTGGTCTTGAAAATTATGTAACGATTATTGACATCCCACCCAATACCCTACGCCGCTAGTTACTTCGAAACCGTCTCTATGATCGTTTATGCAGCTCAGAAAACTGTATGATCTGTCCAAACGGGCGAGACGGGGATTGCATGAGTTTGGGTATAATATACTTGATCTCATGTAATGCATGCGGCGAGGAATATATCGGGGAAACGGGTAGACCACTTTGTGTAAGCATAAAAGAACATCTAGATGGAAAAGCTAAAATCCGTTTAAACACCCCTCTAGGTACACATAGGGCACAAAAGCATAACGGCGATGATTTTGAAGTGAATGTGCGGATCCTAGCGCAGGAATCAAAAACATCAACGCACAAAACTCTTGAGGCGTTTTGGATAAATTTCAAAAATACAAAGATGAACCGGAAGGACGAATGCCTCACTAACACGCGTGACCTGGCACCCTATTTAAAAATGATATTTTGACCCCGGGGCGTGTCTTGCTCACGACTCCACGTGAACTACGTGTGGGACAGTTCCGCACGTAACATCACGGTGAGTGGCCTTTCTGTTCAATATGGCGTCTATTTAAAAGTTTGATCTTCATTAATACTTTAACCTTCTTTTCCACCGAATAATAAAAAGTATTTTTAACATAAAGTACGTCCAGGCTCTGAGGAAGGCGAAGTCGCCGAAACGTCAGCCATCGATCAATAACATCAAAAACAACGACAACGACAACGAAGATCTGTACCAACCTCGCGTCAGCTTAAGAAGATCTGTTTATAAGGTCACATAAATAAATATGTACAAAAAAGTTTCCTAAAGCAGTTTACTGACCAGTAATTTGGGTGCTATTTGACAATTATTTCAATTCTAATTGCTATGGTGAATATATCAAAACATGCTGACTATATTTTTGTATGAGGCACTGTAGTCACCTTTAGTAAATAGCACCATAAATATGACTCTTACCCGAAGAACTTTAGAAAAATGTGCTTTCTACAATCCTTTTATGTTCACAACCCGTGACCTCTTTGGCTATCGAAAGATTTTTGTTTATTTTGAAAAAGCTAGCAAGTTAGTGAAAGCTCAAAACATGGCGTCTTTCAGTCTGCCACCAATCCTCGATTAGGCGGCTACGTGTGACTTAATAGCTTTTTTTTTCGTCTCAGTTCTCTACGTTTCTGTTCATGTTCAAAGGAGTTTGTCGTCTTTACTCTTTAGTAACTATCGTAACTTAGGTTGGAAAAAGTGAAAGAACGTGAAGCTGAAACGACTGAGGAGTGCGAGATAGCACGTAGAAAGGCGAGAAAAATTCGTCTGGTTTTCGAAAAAGTAAAAAATGAACGTTGTCGCAGGTTTCAAGAATTGTTTGAGCCAGTCAGTCAAAAGATCGATGAGATTTATAAGGTATTCTTATTCACTAGGACACCTCCGTGGTAAATAACGAATACGGACTGGATTTCAGTCTCTCTCCCGAAGTGCTAGTGCACAAGCCGTTCTTTATGCAGAAGATCCGGAGGAGCCATATTTGGAGGGCATTCAGGTGACACATGAAACAAGCAGTTTTAACTATTTCATGACCAGCTGCGTTTTTAAAATATGGGATGACAATACTGGGTTTGTGGATTCCGGGATAGTGGAGGATTTCAGAGAGTTACATCGTAATCTGTAGTTCTCTCTGCCTTTATTTCTTCTATTTAGTATAATTGCGTTGCACCTGGTAAACGCTTCCAGCCCATGAATTGTCTTTCCGGAGGGGAGAAGATTGTTGCAGCGTTAGCACTTCTCTTCGCAATTCATGCGCGCAATCCCTCTCCATTCCTTGTTCTCGACGAGATCGACGCCGCTCTCGACAACACAAATATAGCAAAGGTTCTCACATCTCACTTTTCTACATTATTTCTTTGTTGACGCCATCATTCATTCAGAATTGTTTCGTACGTCTTATGTTCAGATGTCTTCCTTCATACGTGAATCTGCACGCAATGGCATGCAAATCATCGTTATCTCCTTGAAAGAAGAATTGTACAACACGGTACGTTGCTTTGGCGAGCTTGAAGCTACAAGAAGTGCTTGCAATCTCCTCACATCCTGTTAATGCTGCAAATGATGTCTGGGTTTTCAAATCTCCTTTGCACTGTTTAATTTTAGGCGGACGCCTTGATTGGAGTGTGTCCTGAGTCGTCCCCTTGCTTTTCATCCAATGTGCTAACATTTGACCTTACGCCCTATAAGCGCACGGGTGTAAGCGACTCGAATTTAAGCATAAGAGAGCCTACGATTCCTAATCCGTAAAAGCATTGTCTTTTGCGAAGATCACGCGAAAAGATTCCAGTCTATTGTGAGCAAATGTGAAAAAATGTCTATGTAAATTACTGTGTTACGTCTATCCACGGTGTTTTCTTTTTTTATGGCTTGTATGGTTATAGTTTGTACACATTAATGTACACACTGCCTAATCGTTCTTCTTATTCTTTCACTCACATTGATATCCGGGAACATGATCTGTGTGTCTGTACAGCAAATGCTCTTTTCATGATTTTTAACGGTTCTAGGACTAATGAATACCTCTGTTTGAGCTTATTTCAGTGTGTAAAGAAGGAATATGGTTTCTGTGTTTGTGCAGTACACGCTTTGTTTCTATTTCAAGCGGCTTTAGCAGCTGTTCCTTTTACGATAATTCGTTGAATACGTTTGTTGTGCCTTCTTCTATGGGAAGGGTAAGCAGTTGTTTAAAAGATTTGTATTTTGGTGCTATTGTTATGTTAGTAGTCAGCTAGAGTTCTTAAATAGGATAAGCCCTCTCTGTGGACGAAATTCGCAAACGGAATAACATTCGTTCCGATCCTGTCAAACACTATCGTGTAGTAAGTGAAATTCAGGACGGGGAGCAAGTGATGTTTCCGAGTTCCTTTTTCTACCTTCGATACACGATGTGGTCCGCGCCACAAAATTCTCCTCGGAATTGCCACGACCGACTTTCTATTAACCTCGGCATTGATCAAGTGATTTTCTTCGTATTTTTGTTGAGCAAACGCGAGGTGTTACTATTCCTTGTTCACGATTAAGCTGACGTTTCGGCGAATTTCGCCTTCTTCAGAGCCGCTTTCTATGAGGTTTCCACTAAGTATGTCACGTAGAGACCAACCGCACAGAAATCACTTGGAAGTATAATGTCTATACTATACTGTCATTATACTTCCACGTGGTTTCTGTGCGGTTGGTCTCTACGTGACATACTTAGTGGAAACCTCATAGAAAGCGGCTCTGAAGAAGGCGAAATTCGCCGAAACGTCAGCTTAATCGTGAACAAGGAATAGTAACACCTCGCGTTTGCTCAACAAAAATACGAAGAAAATCTCCTCGGAATCTTTTTTGTTCAACTGGCTATGCCTCATCCAACGTCTTCGATTTGTGCAAAAGGGTAATCTTCGCGAACAGTTTGCAGAGGACATTCAACAATCATAATGGAAAAGAATTACGAAGATCCTTCCGGTAACCGTTCTTGTATACGCTCCTTTAGAGGCCTGCGATTTTCTCTTCCTGAAGGTAAGATTTAATGTGAGTTGCAAAGGTACATTTAATTTGTGGGCAAAAGCTGTAGGAAAATGCGCAGTGATATTATCGGGTCCTCGAGGTGTGTCTCTCTTTTTGCATTCTCTTATAACTAGAACTCTAGAATGTAGAATGCCCGCCGGTTTTTCACCAGCGGGGATTTAGAGTTCCAAGATGAGTATTGTGAATCCGCGAATTTTGGTGCACAATTCTCCGCTTATTAATTTCATATCATGGCGGGTTGCGGTGGTCGTCCGATCTTCGCTCGTCATTGCGGAACATATTCGGTCTGGTCTCGACCCCACTTTATAAAACTGGCTCCTTTTTGAGCTGCTTCGAATAGATTCTTCTTCCTATACCGATATTAATACTCTTGCGAAATTGTTCAACGGTTGGCTTTCAGTACCAACCGTGTCAGATGTGTTTCTTTATGACCAAGCTTCAGTTTTCTCCTGCTTTCCAGCAACTCTATAGTGATAATGAAAATGCGATCTAAACTTCTTGTTTGAGGAATTGAAGCGAGTTGGTCATAAATCTTATGCCCCTCGTCAAGCAGTGTGTAGTTCCTGGTTAGATCTCCATTTATCTGCAGGCAATATGAGAAGTGGATTTTATTGGGAATATCCTCGTCATACCCGATTTGTTCGTTTTTTCTTTTACGATGGCAGGAGTCCTTTTCTAGCTGATGACTTAATCGAATCATCGCACGGAGACGGCGGTGGTCAGATCCGCTACAGAAACCATGTAACAGTGAAGTGTTAAAGAAGCGTCGTGTTCTGTTGGTGAGAATATGATCGATCGCCGCATGAGTTCTGCTCTCAGAAGACTTCTGTCTACAACGGCGATTTTGTTCTTAGGATTGAATTACTACTACTCACCAACTTCTTGATAGTACTCACCTCACTCGGTTGTTGATGCCTACTTTTTTCGATTCCTCGTTACGTCTCTGTCCTATGCGAGCCTAGTTGAGCATTTTGCATAAGCTCAACGACTAGGAGTTTTTTTTAATACAAACGTAGAGTCGTCTACCCGTTTCGGTAATGTATTCGCCCTCGTACGCTTTACACGAGATCAGATAAACTGTGCTCGATCGCATGCAATCACCGTTTGTACTGTTAGATCAAATTATGCGATTTTGCGTTGCACATAGACGGTTATAAAGGAGCTTACGAACTAGCTGGCGTCTTAGAGTACTAGGCGACATTTCAATTACGGTTACCGAATTCTCTGGAGCGGCCCCTCTTAAGAGACGTTTTATAGCTGCAATTATTTCATTTGAAATGAAAGGCAGGATAAACGAGATCTCATTATCGCTAGAGCTGTCGTTTGTGGACGTGGTTTTCCTGTATGCGTATGCCGAGAAGAAGTTAAAGTATTTCGTAGCCATTGAAATAGCTACTGGCCGGAAAAAGTACCGCGACTCCTCCTTCTGCTCTCTTGCGGTCTACACGGTGGTTGCTGTTCGAAATATGTTTCTTATAAGCGCCCTTCTTGTGTGTGAGATGTTAGAGGAGAGGTAATGGGCAAGTATGTTTTGACTACCTGACTTTCGGCATAACTTCGTAATGTAGCCGCTTTCTGATAGGTTAATTTTCACGTTCATGAATCGAGGCCACTTTTCGTCCGACTTCTTTGGAGTGGACTTCAGTAGTTGTCCCATTTCAAGCCCTCTCGTTTGTGCGTTATACCTCTCCGACCATCTGAAGGTTGAGCAGTTTAGGCACTCCTTTAAGAGTGTTATCAACTGTTGAACCGCGAAGTCATGAATGTTTATTTCTTCTTCGTGTTGTACAAGGTGCTTGTGGATGGTTTGCATAGCGGAGTCATTCGACACGTCTGTATAGAGGGCACCTACGTCTACGTAACGAGTGTCCAAACCACGAGTACTTGGTGGAGTGCTTCGACGTTACCGCCGCTTATACAAACGCGACGAATGACTCTGCTATACAAGCCATCTACGAATTCGTACAACACGAGGGAGAAATAAACATATATGGCTTCGCGGTTCAACAGGTGATGACACTCTTAAAGGAGTCCCTAAAATGCTCAACCTTAACATGGCCCGGGAGGTATAACGCACAAATGAGAGGGCTGACAATGGGACAACGGCTCACACCAAGCCTTGCCAGCGCGTTTATGCCTAAAGTGCAACCACCATTAACCGATCTCAGCTTATTACCCAGTAGTAGATACATAGATGATTGCTTTATCATCAACATATAATTTGCATTATTTGATCTAACAGTAGAGACGTGATTGCATGAGTTTGGGTGCAGTTTATCTAACCACTTGTAAAGCTTGCGGGACGAATACATTGGCGAAACGGGTAGACAACTCTACGTCTGTATTAAAGAACTCCTACGTAAACTTAAGCAAAATGCTCCTCTTGACACGCACAGAACCAGGAGACATAGGGGGGAATCGAAAGAAAAACGGCATTAACAATCAAGTCAAGTCAGCACTGTGAAAAAATTGGTGAGTAGCAATACCAACTGCAAATCATCGGCTTCCAACATAAGTAGCACATCAATGAAGTTTCAAACTAGCCATCCGAGCTGGTCGATAAACAATTGGAAGGCTCAAAGAAAAACAACTAGTTCAAAGAATTGGTAATGCAGCCAGTTGAGGTATAATGCACTGTTGTCATGTGAATTAAGGTCGTTTGAAACTTGTCACACAACTAACACACTGTCACACACAAAAAAAAAGACAACTGTCCCTGCTCAAAGAGCGAAGCGAGTGGAAAGTCTGTTAGGACTCAGGACTCACGAAGATGAGCCATCTTAGTTTATAGAAAAGAATACTGATCTCTGTAGAATGTTGGCTTGCTTTCAGAAACAGGTCTGTCGTGCAAACTCAGAAACTCATTGCTCTGAGCTGTAATTCTGCCATAACGACAACTGTTTTTTCTCAAGTGCTTTTGAGGTCTAATTTGAGGTAATAGTCCATTCATTTCTCTCTTCTATGAATCATGCCTCCGACCACTGAGCCACACGCGCAGTGGAAAACACATGGAATCGATCCTCTCGCCCCAGGCTCATCAAGCACTCCACTGCTTCGTGATCGGCAAAGTGGTGAAGGACTTGTCTGGAAGGATAGCAGCTCTGGCTCGATACATCGGTAGGCCTCCTTGAGTCATTGTAAAGGCTATATATGCATTCAGTATAAAGTTGAATGCTTGGCGATTCCCTCGCGAATGATCAACGTCAAGAGCTTTAGGCTTCTCCACCATTTTGTAACCATACGCTATTATGGAATTCACGCAATTAGTGGAATTTTTCTCGTTTCCAGGGCGTAAGATTCGTCGCTGTGATGGCATACCGTGGAACATGTCTGGTTCGTGAATCACTAAACTAAGCCACGACCGACTTTCTATTAACCTCGGCATTGATCAAGTAATTTTCCTCGTATTTTTGTTGAGCAAACGCGAGGTGTTATTATTCTTTGTTCACGATTAAGCTGATGTTTCGGCGGATTTCGCCTTCCTCAGTGCCTGGAAAGGTCAGGTTGATAGCAATCTACTCGGCCAGACGCTTCCATAACCAAGCAAAGAAACTCCAAACCAAGATTTCAATCATTTTGAACACAGCTTTGCACACTCGCCGCTTCCTATGAGGTTTCCACTAAGTATGTCACGTAGAGACCAACTGCACAGAAATCACATGAAAGTATAATGTGCCCCTCATATCAGAAAAGCAGTTTTATATACTGCCCTATATCACGCGTGATAATGAGGCATT